TAGTTAATGCAGAATAAAAATTTCTTCTTAACAGTGCTTTTATGCTAAAATTTGATATTCTTGTATTCTTTTCAAAGTAGAGGATTAGAGTAAAACAACTAATTTTTGTAAATCAAATTTTATGACGGTTACAAGAAATATTTGTTGTTTCAGGAATTCAGAATGAAGAATTTTTTAGCATTCAGTACCCTGGTCAATAAAATTTGACTTTAAGACACCTTATGACGCTAGGAAAACAACACTAACATAGTTCACACTAATATCGATCTAGGTTTTCATATAATTTTTTGATGCTTAACCGACAATGAAAGTGTAGCAGTTTTTAAACAGTTGGTCCGGTAAAAAAAAAAAGACACGCAAGGAATACTCTTTTTATCATAAGTATTTAGAGGGTTTGGTCATTATGCATGTAGTACCTTTTTGTCTCCTATCATTTGATTAACTGTTAAAGTCACTTACTGACGAATCTTTGCCTTCCCACTGCCTAAAGCAGCTCCCTTACTGGTAGCCTTACTGACCTTTCAGAAGATCTTTCAATTTATAAATAGGTGCGTGATCGTAGACGAGGGATTTAAATGATAAAAATATACAAAATTTATCAGTGAACTGATCGATAGATGAGTCTCCAAACAAGAAGCAACAGACGTTTTATTATGAAACGGAGAGACTCCGGCTGAAGGCTATGCTTTGTAGAATGTTAGCTTAAATTTTTTGGAGTTATAAACACAGAAAACAAGAACTTAAATTTTTTATAGTTGTAAAAAATTTTTACAGAGATTAGTGAGTAAGTTTCATTTCAAAGTTTTATAAGAATCAGTTGATTAGTTGCCGGCAATATTGTTTATGAACTCTATTAGTTTTTCTTACAGTAAACGGAAAGCCAATATTTTTTTTAATTGTCGATATGATAGAAACACGGTTACCAAGCAGTGCCGTGAAAAATAATTTTTTTGGTTTGCTTGTGAGGGATTTGGCTGGATTTTGATGAGTATCTGAAATTGAAAAAGTTGGCTGTAAATGGAAATAACTAAAAATTTTTTGAGCGCAAAGAAGTTCTGTAAAAAAATTTGAAAATCTTTCCAGATGCTGATATTGACTGCAGTTTCTATTGCAAAAAACTATTATTACTAAAGCATAGAAAGCTTTAAAAGATTTTCGAATTTGTTGGGACAGTTACTCAAGGTATTCAAAAAAAGCACCGTAGAAGCGTTACTTGCATACGTGTTGAAGAAGTCCATAGCAGTTTTTTTTTTTTTTTTTTTTTTTTTTT